AATTCGCCCCTGAAAATTGAATCAAATTCACTCACTCTAGTTTCCATATTTGGTGTAAAAATTTTCTTCTCCTTTTGGTTTGTTATGTTAGGGCCTGACAGCTTTTGTTATAAAGCTTGTTTTGATTTTAGATAATTTCTTCAGTTTTTGCTTTCACGAAAATCAAAAAACCTTGCAACAGCTTAGGCCTCGTTCTCTTTGTTGTTTTCAGGCCGTTTTCTGTTTTCGATTTTTCAAAACAGTGAAAAAACATGTTCTCTTTCCTATTTTCGAAAATGTGTTTTCGAAAGAAAAAAAAATTGTTAAGAAAACTGAAAACGTGAAAATCATGTTTTCGGTGTTTTGAGGCAAAACACGCGAACAAATGAAAATGCGGAAAACAGTCTATTTTTCCATTTTCTTCAAAATTCTTCCTCTTTCTTGAGCTACCAATTTGTCGCCTCCTTCCATCAATAACAACCACCACCCACCACCTAAGCCGTTAGACCCACACACCACCGGCACCCCTCACCTCCCTCTACAACCTCCAACTATTGCCTGCCCACCAAACCTTCCTTTTGTTGATGTTGAAAGTTGTGGTTGTAGTGCGCTAGACGTGTCATCAATTTTTGTGCAGCTACATTACGCTCCCACTTTATGCACTCATTACACATGTAACTTACTCATCGTGATCCATATATCCACTCGTTTGAGCTAGTTTTGTCGGTTAAAAGACCAAGATTTAACAAGTCGGGTTTTCACATTGTCATACTACTTGTTCACTTGAACCATTTTAATTTCTTGGTTAATTTCTTGGAATTTTCAGATGGGATCAAATATGAAGAAGTCCATCTTCGACGAACATACTTCTAAGGCATTAATGAACTGCCTTTGCAGTAAAGGAAAAGCAGTGAATGGGGACATAACGTCTTGATTGAGATTTCAAATTTACTGTTTTCTATCCAAGAGTTTTGTAAACTAAAGTTATTTTGATGCACACCATAAGAGGCATTTTTGATAGAATATTTTTATGGCCTAATAGTTATGTTTGTACTTGATATTATAACCATGATACTTGAATTTAATCAGTTGGAATAATTTTAAGATGTTGAAGATGCAGCGTAAACTTCATGTTATTCTTGACCCCATTGTTGACGAGCAAAGAAACAATTTGATAGCAA